AAGAAAAGATTCCCGAGAATCCATTTCTATATTAGTCATAGATGAAGATATAGTTATTTATTCTCTTGTTCATTTGTTTTCATCTAAATGATTTGAATTGAAAGATTTTTTAGTATAACACAAAATTTAATTGCTTTTAAATAGAATCTTCTAATGTTTTGAACTTTGTTGTACAAACTATTTGTACTCTTGATCATCTAGATTTTTTGTGCATTGATATCTTTTAATTTTCGTCTAACATTTTTATTCTAATTTGTTTCATAATCATTTAAATATTCTCTGTTTTATGTTTTAAAATAACTGTTACAGAGCTAAGTGATATATTATGTTTTTTCATTCGATTTAAGTTATGATAAATCAATACTATGTTTATTATCATAAATTAATAATATATTTTTTTTTTGTTTCAAAGTAAGCTCGTGTTGTGATGTTTTTCTTTATTTTACACATACAGCAGTTGAATCATACACAAAATGTACTCACTCATAATTTATACGAAACAGATGATAGGAAAGAGAAAGAGCTGATAAACACATGTTTACATTAGAAAAGTTATAGCAACAGAAGTGACCACAAAAAAAGTATTTATTGTCAAGGATAAAGAGGTGTTTACTAGTAGAGGTTTTATTCTATATGATTATTCCCTTATTATATTCATCATTGCTAAAGGATGTCTTTAAACAATGAGAAAGATTTGACATTTTTTTTTGCTTCTTTCTCTATAGTTTCTTTTTCTTCTCTAAAGTTAGGATATTGGAGCAAAAACTTATTCTAACATTAGGAAAGATAGGTGTGTGTCAATGGACGTGACGATTAAATTTAGTCAGACAAGATCCCTGAAAAACAGCGTTAAGATTTCGTTAAAACGATGTTTTTAAACGTTTTAAACCGCATTTGGAATATCTGCGCACACTAAAACCTGTGAAAATGTTTTTAGACTTATGCGTTTTTACTCGCTTGCACTGAAAAATTTACGAATTTTACCACATTCAAAGGCAGAATAGCGTATTAACCGTACAGATCAGCGAAGAAAACATTTTTTTATGCATGTTGTCTTGAACATGTTTCACTACGTTCAACAATAACTCGTTGTTTTAAGTGAATCAACGCGTTTTAACAGATTTGTCTTTTGAGATTCGTTAAAATACAGGATCTTTAGTTCGAGAACTTATATTTATATAAATACATCTGATGTAAAAATTTGTATTTAAAGATCACTCTGATTTTTTATCAGCATGACAAGTCGTTTTATTTTAATAATCATAGCAAAATAAGATATTCCTAAAGACGTATGACTGCTTTTTTTTCCTTGATATGTGGGAGATTACGCCGATTTCTATTATCTATTTATGTCACTAATTTATGTATTATTTTTCTCAAAGTTTTAATTTTATTTCAATATACTTAAGACGCAGGATATTTATGATTATATTTTTTCATTTCATGTTTCTAGTATTTATGCGATCATATCAGTAATACTCTTTTTCATTTCGAAATGAAGACGTATTGGAAGTTGTGAAGATTATATAATCAAAAAAGGACAAGAGAAAAAAAACCAATGTGAGATTGAATATACTAAAGTTCAACATGGGTGGAAGAAAAAATAAATCTAACTGTGATACAACGAGAAATTAACTATATTCTTTAATCATCTCGCAGATGAACAAACCATGCTGAATGAATAGAATTGATTGAAAACTAACGGTCTGCTTGCTTCTGTCTATTCATGTTAGACACCTTTATATTTATTGTAATGATGGAGAAATCTTTGTTTGTCTCCCGACATCTGCTAATTTTTCTCAGACTAAACGAATAAATGGGTTATGCATTAAAACTGAGAATATTTCATCTCATTCTTCCCTTCGATTGTGCAATTATTTTCGCATATTGTACGTTAGTTGATAGTTTTAACCAATTATATGATGCGTTGACTTCTTTTTGCAATGAGTCGTCGTAAGAGAATTTTATAATATATTCATGATAAGATCTCCTTATCAAGTAAGTGAATGTAAGAATAAATTTAATGATAGTAACATTGAAATAAAAAAGACGAGTTTCTATCATTTTGTTTTTGGTAGTTGACAATGTGTTTTAAAATATCATGAGTCGTCATTTCTTTAGAATAATTTATTATATTGAGTAAGCTAATTCTGAATAATTTTCATATTGTTATTCTCAGAAAATATTTCAAATTCGTAAAAAATCATTTTAGTGATTCAATCGTTTATGTAAATGTTGTAAATGTATATTTTTCGTTTTCTTTTCTTTCAAGTTCTATTTTGTTCATCTCCGTATCATTTACATTAATTTTCTCATTCGTTTAGGTGAACGATCCATTGAATCATTTATTCTTTGCATGATAATATCATTTTTCTCTTTCACTCTTAATACTAACCGATTCTTTCTTCATAGTCTTTTGATTTTTATCCTAGCTATAGTTAGATATCATTAATAAGTTTGCATATATAAATGGTATTTCAAGCATACTTTAATGTTTCTTTTTGTATTTTTTTTTGAATATAAAAAGTTGAATAGATATAGAAGAGATGTGTTAAAAAGTAACATCTAAGTTATTATTCAAAATTTATTGTAATCAACTAACATCTTTATTAAGAAGATACGTTATTAGTAAGCATGTTATAATAATTTTATTAAATTTGTTTTTATGATTAAAAAAACTACGTTTAAATGTATTTCAGCATTAGCCTCCATAAGAACATAATAAAATGAGTGCACGACTAATAATTTTCTCGTCCTAATAATACAAGAGTAGAAAAATAAATATGATCAATATATTTGAACGTGTTTTCTAATAGCGCACTTTCTTAATAATGATATCAATGGAGTATAGTAAATTTTGGATAATAGCTTAGATGTTTCTATGTCTGTTCAACTTTTGTATATTCGAAAATCCTCAAAACGATCTGAAACCTACAAAACATTCTTTGTACATATTACTTTCACAGAACGTGTAATAATTAAATGATGTTCTTCATAGATAGAAGAATTTTTATCGTATATTTTAACATGTTACTAAATGTTCAGATTTTCAATTAAGTGTATTCTGAGAGAAAACAATCATATTTCATAGATCTGGGTTGTTTGAAATTTAGTTTAGATGAATTTTTAATTATGCCAACCTTGTTACCATCTTGTAACAAATGATTTATTAGTTTGATTTTGATCTATAAAAATATGTTTCCGATTTAAATCTTAAAACAATTCTAAATTTTCTATAGGTTTTGTATGGATCAAAATTAAACTAATAAGTCATTTCTTATAAGATGATAATAAGATTGAAACAACTAAGTATTCATTTGAACTATATACGTCAAGCAACTCAGATTTATTGAATATGATTTTTTTCTCTAGGGATAAACTTAATTTCAAACCCGAATGCGTAAAAAATACGTTAAAATTTTTGAAAGAAAACGAAGCGATAAAAAGTGTACATTTCTTTGGGTTTATAACGCATTAAAAATCTAGGATGAAAATATATTTGCTCAAAAGCTTTAATCAAGGGGAAAAAGCGAGACTTCGTACTTCACGTACGTCACTGTACTTCACTCGTACTTCACTGTACTTCACTTGTACTTCACTGGTACTTCAGAAGTACGAAGTCTCGCTTTTTCCCCTTGGCTTTAATACATTTGTGCTCTTATTATAATTTTATTTTCGTTTAAACTCCCATGGATATTTACGCGCTGTTTTCTTATTGTTTATCCAACTGGGAAGCAGTAATTTTCATCTTCAACTATAAATCATAAAATGCTTGAGTTTATTCGTAATGTATTCGAAATGTTTGTAATTGAATATAATCATCTTGAAGGTGACACGTGTATTGTTAGGGAGCTCCAATAAAAAAGAAAGCAAACATTCATCTATCTCAACGAAAGCAATATACGTTAGTCGGCATCTAATTTTAGATGCAGATGAGATAACGATCATTATGAGTCATTCTTTCCCACTGATTTTACACGCACTTGAGACATCCTGATAAGGCCACTTGTCAATATAGAGTGTTCTATTCTTTTGCTTTTTCTTCATCCTTCGTATTTGATATTTGTGATTGTTTTTTCATACATTTTTCTTCTACCATACTCTTCTTTATATCAATACTCATGTCACACATTGAAGTAAATAAATAAAGTCAAGATCAATAACTTATTTTATTGACTTGAAAGTACAGAAACGAATAACAAGTCAGATGAAAGAAACGAACAAGAATAATAAGATTGTAACTATCTTATTACTAATTTGAAACTGATTTTCAACAACAACCTTTTTAAAGAAAACAACCTATATATATATATATATATATATGTATATCTATATGTATATCTATATGTCGTGATTACTCATACAACAAAGTAGAAGAACGGAAAGGAAACAACGAAATATAACAATAGAAATATTGTTATAGATATTAAAGTTATCGCAACATAAAGGAAAAGAATAGAAAAATATATATGAAATTGAAGATGACTTATCACAAAAACGAAATATATATATTACGTAATAGACAATATTATTTACGTAATAGAATAAAGTCAAGGCCAAATATAATGTTTCTTGACCTTGACCAACAATAATGAATATCTATAAGTTGAGATCAACAAAAGATCATAGAACGAAAGAAAAACAATACATATATGTATATGTATACGTATATGTATATATATACTTTGGCGTGCTGCTAAGACAAAGCGAAAGCAACAAACAGAAAATAGCAATAGTGAACCTCACTACGTGACAACTCGTCAAACGAAAGAAATGAAGAAAAAAATTCCTTTTTTTAAAACTTCATAATAAGTTCGTTTTTTCTATGATAGTTTGTCGGTATAATTGACGAAAAATATCAACGATGGGAAACATTTTCGGATCTTCGACGTTAAAAGATGTCAACCTTGAAACATTTCATCTTGTTTGGCTTGATCCAGCAGCTGATGACACTGCCGAAGATGAAGAAGGTCAACAACTACTTCGCACATCAATCAACTATTTAAGAAAATTCAAAGATATAGAAAAATGTGAAAATTATATTCAAACTGTATCAAAAAGTGATCGAATTGTTTTTATTGTCACTGGTCGACTTGGTCAAGAAATGATGCCACGTATTCATCAACTTCGACAAATTTCATCCATCTATATTTACTGCATGGATAAGGACTATCATGAAGAATGGTCAAAAGATTTTACAAAAGTAAGTTTTCAGCAATGATCAAATTCCGTGAGTTCTAAACTTTTGAAAATTTCGAAACTCAAACAATAGTAAAAAAAAAGAATGCGAGTATGAGTTTGTGATGATGGATTATTGCAGTGCGAACAGAAGATCTTCACATCCACATCCTTTTTTGATAGTGCTATATCATTCATTATCGTCTCATTTCTTTTTAGGTGAGAGGCGTAGTTGTAGAATTAGAAGATCTTGTGACAAAAATTCGATCAGATCAAATAACGCGAATACGTAACAAAGTAGACGAACCCGTTTCTATTAGTATTTTTGATCCCAATATCGATAGCAGACAATGGACAATGGGATCCAATACACAATTCATTTATTCACAATCATTGATTGATTTTTTCCTTCGTATGAAACCAACAACCAAAGATAAAACTGATCTTATTTCTCTATGTGAGGAAGAATATTTCAATAATAAACCTGAATTAGCCATAGTTCATGAATTTCAACGAGACTATCGACCAGAACGTGCACTATGGTGGTATACTCGAGATTCTTTTCTTTCGCGATTACTGAATAAAGCTCTTCGAGTACAAAATACGAATTTACTTTTACTCTTTCGATTTTTTATTCATGATATCGATCGACAACTTCGATATTATCAATCTAAATCTGTCATGTATGTGTATCGAAGTCAATTAATGTCAAATGATGAATTACAATTATTCAAAGATTCAATTGGTAAATTCATTGCTATGGATTCTTTTCTTTCTACTATACTAAATCGTGAGCAAGCTATTGATTTCGTCAAAACTCTCATTCCAGTAAATGAACTACAACATACTTTATTCGAAATTGAGGCTGATCCTCAATATGCTACTAGTAAACCATTTGCTAATATAACAGCATATAGTTATCATGCTAATGAAGAAATTCTTTTTATGATCGGATCTATCTTTCGATTGATTGATATTCGTTGTGATAACGATCAAGTATGGATTATTCGAATGAAATTATGCAATGAAGATGATCAAAACATAAAATCAACTTTTGATTATATTAAAAAGGATCAAAATGAAGAAACAAATCTATTTTCATTTATTAATATTCTACGACGATTGGGTAAATCTGATGAAGCAGAAAAATATTGTCTTCGTTTATCTGTTGAATTACCTCGCAATGATTATGATCTTTCTGTATGCTATCAAATACTTGGAAACCTTGCGAGTGAAAATAATGATTTAGAAACATGTTTAACATGGTATAAAAAATCGCTTGAATGTGCTACACGAAGTTTAAAATCTCTCGATCCTCGTTTGATAACTAATTATACTACGATTGCAGCTGTTTATCGACAGAAAGGCGATTATAAACAAGCACTGGAATTATATAATAAAACATTAACAATTGCAAAAGAAGTATTTGGTGAAGAACATTTTTGTATAGCCGAATATTATAAAAATATTGGCATAATCTACCAGGCTAATAAACAATGGTTTGATGCTCTGGATTATTATTTGAAGGCATTGGTAATTCAACATAAGCAATCATCAATGGAACATACTCAAATTAGTCTATTGCTCAATAATATGGCTGATTGTCATGCTGACCTTGGTCTTTACGATTTAGCTTTAACACATTATGATCTATCATTAAAAACATTAAAGACATCAGAATTACCACAAAATCGAAATGTAGCATCGACACTTCATAAAATAGGATGTGTTTATGAAAAGAAAAAGGATTTACAACAAACTCTATCGTATTATCAACAAGCAATCAATATCTATCGTCATACTCTCACATCGACACATCCTACTTTTATCCAACTTGAACAAGATGTTCAACGTATTTCATCCGAACTTGAGAAAAAAAATTAAACTTAATTCATCCCAACTCGAATAAGATAATCTTTTTTTTTTACGAAACAAGAAATCATGATGAGACCTTGTGATATACATATCTTCCAAAGATATGCATATCATTGTGTGATATTATTTATCAAACAATGATTTTAATCCTTCCATTCTTGTTGTTCTTGTTATATGATTATATTGCAAGCCATTTGTACCATTTGCAAGAAATAATTGAAAAAAAGTGAAATGTTTCTAGGCTACATATCTCAGTTTGCCAATATTTAGACCGTCATTGATAACCTACGGATAGGAAGGTTTCCAAAAGCTGAGCAAGAAATAATAGAGATAACAGATTGTGAAAAAAGAATTTTCTATTTTCGAATTTAATCATCGAAAAATCTGTCCTTTTTATACTGCAAGTCAATACATTATGCAATGAAACTCAGGTTCTTAAATCCTGCTTATAAATTGTATCGAAGAAGACAAGAGCCGACATCGGAAACGGTTGTCCTGCTTAAAAATCTAATCAAACTCAACCTCTTGTAGATCCATAATTCGATGATGTTAGAAGTTTTAGGACATGTTCGTATCGAATCCATTTAGATTTTGCATTTAAAAGGAATTAGAAGGCAACCGATTCCACAAAAGATGTAGCCGAACTAACGTGAGTGTAGGTTAGAGTGTGAACGTGTATCTTATCCTCACTCACATCCATCTAGGTTATAATCGATTGTGAAAACTAACCGATTGTCACTGATTGAACTCTCGAACTATTAATATATGAAATAACTTATTGTTTCAGTATTTTAAATTGCTGTTATCTCTTCCGTTAAGTGACTGGACGAGAATGTTGTCATGTAGTCCTATATGTAATTCAGAATCTTAACATTTCAAAATGAATCTTTTTAAACATCCATATATCTCTAGAATAAATATATATTTGCTATTTAAATGTACATAATGGACTAATATTTTTGTTTAGGATGAACTTTGATTGGTTTTTATTTTTATAAGAAAATATTTATCTCTTCATTAATGATACATGATATTCTTATTTATAGTATAAATAGAGAAAAATCGAATTTAAGATAGAGCTTTCGATTGACAAAACATTTAATTTGCAGAGTAAAATATGCGATTTAAGAAAAAACATATTCTATATATTCAATATTCTAATCAGAACAAAGAGTAATAGATAAGACAAGATTGTATATGAATGATGGAATTCGAATAACTCTAAATCACTGCAATCAATACTGGTCGATTTTTTTCTGAGAATTATATTCAACAAATTGGTAGTCGATTTACTAAATACAACACTATATTTTATCAGCGCTCTTGTTCATACATTTCTTTTATACTTGTCATTATTACTCAATAGGATTAATTCATTGTGAACGCATTAGATTTTCAGTTACGTACCAATATTGAATATTCTGTTATGTGAAAACAACAACGATTCATTTTCATTTTTTCTTTTTGTTATCTTAATCGCGAAAAAGAATCCAATGCACTAGAAAACCAAATCTCCAGTTGTTGAACACTTCGAACGTCTAAATTTAATTCTTTTTTTTCAGACTACACAAAACAATATAGCAAATACTTCACTAAACATAATTTGACATGTCTTCAAGTTCTGTACGATAGTTTTTGACTGAGATACAATAATGTTGTATCTCAGTCAAAAAGGTTCGTACAGAACTTGGAGATATCTCATCTTTTAGAAAATTATTTGCTCTATCGTTTTGTGTAGTCGAAACAAAATTAATTATATTCATGCATCCTAAGTGTTGAAAACTACGGTATGCAATTTTCTAGTAATTATTTCTATTTACTTATCTTCTTGTTGTATATATATTTTTATTTTCTACTCGAATCACTCATTAGATTCTTTTTTCCGCGATCATAACAGCAGAAAAAAATAAACTATATTGAATAATTTTGTTAGCCATGGCATATCTCAAAATAGGAGATATGCAAAAATTTCTGACACTTTCACAATCAACTAGTCCAAATGAAAAATTAATTTATGCAAAGTTTTAAACTCAAAAGTTTATTTTAAAGATGATCTAACAAGAATTAAAGAATTTTGTTAGAAACTTATCAATGTGTTATCATTCTCCTTCAGCTTTTACAACTTACATAGGGCGATTGTCATTGATGTGAAACCTTCTCATTCAATAATATGCTTCTCCTAATTAAAAGAATAAGATCATGACCATACAACAATTCTTCATATTCTTATGGTACAATTCATAATTCTTGATTATGACCAATGATCTTGTTAAACAACATGAGATAAATTACTTATTTTACTCAAAGGGGAGAAAAGCTGAAAATTGAAGTTTTTGAGAAATTTTATTCATAAAACAATATTGTCTCAATAGAACTAGTGTACATATGTCATTCAATACTTTTCCTTTACTAAATTAATCATATTAACATGAGAAAAATAATCAACGATGTGTCACTTATATATTATTTTATCAACCGTCTTATTACGTGTTAACATTTTCCTAAGTAGTCAAAGTTTGGCTGCAGCTGTTCTGTAAGCTAAAATTGTGTTTCGATCATGTACAGTGGCAGAACTGTCAAATTTAAACTTTAGAAATCGGAAGTTTTTCGTCAAAAATCAAGATTTGATCAAGAGATTTTTTTTACATTTGTCTAAAAATAGAAAATATCAGGCAGTTCTCTCTTAGAGAAGCAAAATAATCACTGTTACAAACTTTTATGACTTTTCTTTATCAAATGAGTAACGAAGATAATTATCTCACACGTGAAATAAAGAAAAGAGAGATGCAATCAAGTGTATATCTGTATATCAATCTATTTCGATCGTAATTCAATGTCAAATCCATGGTTTCATATATCACAAAAGTTTAAAAAAAGACGCTAAAAACTACAGAAGTGAGCTATTTCATGGTTTTTTTATTTTGAGTATTTCTTACCTACTATACTAGAATAGTCATCGAAGGATGCTTAAGATTTATTCTTTTTCAAGAATTTTGTTTTGACACTTGCGACGTTTGAAATTTTAACTTTTCCAATGTTTTTTAGAATCTCATCCAAATTTAGTTGTCAAGCCTCTAAAAGGTCGATTTATAACTCCTATAAAAAAAATTGAACTCATACTCAGAAAAGAACACAAAATTGTGATTCTAATCCATTTGAAGACTGAAAACTGAACAAACGTTTTGTCTAATTATTTTTCGATCGTCCATTATTAGACATCTCTATAATTGAATGTATTTTATTGTATCGGTATTCTCAAATCAGTTCATTTTACTGATGAAAAGTAAATAAGCATAAATATTTTATATGAATATGCAAAAATCAAAAGAAAGACAAATCGAAAATGAAAGATCAATCATTTTCATCTAACTGTGATAATTATTTTTTTTTGCCTATAGGTTTTTTCTCAATTTCTATTGTCACTCAAATCAAACCTGCTAGAACCGAAAATCAAGATATTTTTTATCAAGAGAAGAGTTTGAAAAATCAGATTTGGAAGGTCTGATGATAACGTAAGGAAAAATAATGAAACGAATAGATAGACAACCAACGAGGCAATACTTTTCTTTCTTTTGCTAGCAAAAAAATTTTTTTTCACATACTAGAACTCAATATATATGTTTATTATTTCATATATCATTCTTTCGATTTTGCTTCATATAATATTAATCTTAAGTTTTTCTTAAATCAAAGCAGCGAGAAAGAAGTAGTATTGCTATGTCTTAACTACAGTCATGTGTATTCCGAGGTTATTACTAGTAAAGAAAAATTGAGATTTTTGACGTAAAACAGATTTAATCTCAAAAAATACTCGGCTTCTCCCCTCCCTCGATTTTACTTCAAAATATTGTGAAATTATATGTTAACTAAGATCAAATAAATTTAATAATCATATTGAAAAGTTTATTCAAAATCTTATAGATGAACGATATTTTTTTTTTATAATAAATTAAACAATAATATCGATAGATATATTTTATGTTGATCAAAATGAAACGAAATATTTCTTTATATTAAAAGCATATTCTTAACAATACATTTGATATATATCTATCGACTATTTCGATATATATATATATTTTTTTGTTTCTTTGTTATTGATCATTTTTCACATATTTTCTCATCATTGTTCTTATCATTTATACCTGTTAAGGAAAAAGAAACTCGTTCGACACACTTATTAGTTTCTCATCATCGTTATCATAGTTTACCCATCAAAAGATTAGGTCGGATGTCTATTCTTTCCGCTCAAAGAAAATGATCGTAGTGGTATGTTACTCAGTCTTCCGGGCACATATCATCATTGATGCGCAAGTAAACGTGCTAATAGAGTTGCGTTCAATGTGTGAAGAATAAAAAAGTAAACATTCCATATGTTAATCATATTGAAATGACGTTTTGTTTTTTTTTTTCTATAAGAATTATTTGTCAATGGACAATAGTAATTCAAATCCCAAGTGTAGTTCTATAATATGCATGCAAGTTTTGCGTGTATTAAAAACAAATTTGTAGTAATATTGGCAAGTAAATCAACGCTTTTTTTTTCTTACTCTTTGATAATATTGGATATATATATATATATATGTGTGTGTGTGTATCGATCACGCTCCATGCTCGCTAATTACTCGAAACATTCCAACACAACGCATATTCATATAATGATTGAAAGAGAAAGAAACAAGAAAAAGTCACGTACAAATGATGATGACTGATTGAAATAAATATACAGATTTCAATCTAGTCTATAAAATGATTTGATGATCGATTGTTCTTAGTTTGTTGATCAGCTGCAAAGATTTCAATAAGAAATATAAAACTTCGAAAAACTACCATAGAAATGAATATAGAGATAAATCAAAAAATAAATGATTTTAACAATATTCATTATATCAACAATACTTTTAGTATAATTATTGAACATTAGTTGATTTCAAACTAATAACAGATAAACTACATTGAGTTAAATCTGAAATCATAACACATCAAAATCATATCACTCGTTTTTTGAA